GTGGTCTCTTTTATCTTCTTCTGCTGGATATACGCATTCTACAGCTTTGAGTGAGTGTACATTCAGCTGGTCGAGGGTCGTTGTTAACTATTGATCTTTGTTCTTCGAGTTGCTGATCAGCAATATTTAAAAGGATGGAACCTGGAACAACGAATTAATTACTTTGAAGAAAGCTGGGCTTACTTTGCTGGATTCGGTTTGTCTTTAACATCTTTACAGTGTGATCTAACAAAAAACTCAATAAATCTCTTTCCAATAATCATCTCTTTCGAAATATTTCTTGACTCATACGAAGTTATAAATTATTGTATGACTCAACTATAAAATGAACACATAAACAGTCTTGTGCTCTCAAGAAAAAAAAATTGCATGACGATAGTAGTTCATTGTCAAACCACTGTGACACATACTATCTAATACAGACAAACCTCTCTAAGTGCACGCTCTCTAAATGCACTCCCTCTCTAAATGCACGCAATTGTCTGGTCCCAATGGGCATGCACTGAGAGAGGTTTGTCTGTATGGGGCAAAACCAGACAAAGTATTCCTATTACTAAATGAGGAGTTGTTGCTTTATACGCACGTTGACATATGTCAACAATGATTACGGCATCATATGCCAAATATTCGGCTGATCGATAATAATAAGGAACCGCATGACTCTCAACATTATTTTGCGGGGTTAATTTTCGCCGGTGCACCCATATATTACTTATAAGGGTTAGGGTAAATTTACAGATCTCAATGGTGTACCAGCGAAATTAATATGAATCATCGATCGATTTGCCTAAATAAAGACCTCGAAACCTCGATCGATTTGATTTTAAATGCCGGCCGAGATTCGAGTTTGAAACAGGCGGGAAAAGACATTGCAGAAATTGAAATGTCATCATGCGTTGTGATCTCGGAGGACGTCCAAACACACGATTTTGGGAAGAACATTCTATCTAAGCGCATGTGAAAACAATGGCAATTTTCTGTGATAATTAATTATAATTATCACATTATGGTCGTACTTCTCAGAGAAAAATACGTATATATACGCAGGTGTATGTCTCAAGTTCGAAAACAAAAACATTATTTTAACAATTTATTTGATACACATTCTTTATAACCATGAAATACTGTATCTCCTTCACTCTTGTTGTCTTCATAATTTGTTACCTGTTGACTGAAGTAGCTCCAGGTAAAGTTTTGAATTACAAGTAGCTGACATTTAATAATACTCTATTTTGACAATTTGTTTCCTGATTTGATGGAATAGAAAAATACCATAAAGCGTTGGTCGTCTCCACCTTGAAGGCGGGAACGAAATGCCATGGATACGTAACGGATTGTAAAGGCAATGTGTTGTTCGACAGAGGAGTAAAAGATTGTTCTAACTATTGTACGGTATCGAAACGTGATAACATACCAGACGCTCCATTCTGCTCTCATATGATGGTCGCCGACAGCAATGGTAAATTTCATGATCGGACCGTTAAAAGCGAAACGGATGCATGTTTCAAAGTTAGCGGAGATGATACCAATTGGGAGTACAAGATAATAAGATGTCCTCAAAAAGCTCCAAAACTATGTAGCGACGTGTAAAGATACATATTTCTACAAAATATCGGTTCGATTGCAATTTTGTCCATTATTTCATATGTAGTTGTGCAGAAGATTTTTCTTATTTACTTTATTTACTTTTCATTAATGTAATTGACATCGTGTTGAACGTCACCGGAGCGATTCCTAATTTGATAAATTGGTCATGCGCAAACCGCTGGATTTAACCGTCTTTTAGATATCGCGATAAAAATATACATAATGTCTTTTTGCGAAGCAAACACGAGACTATAATGCAAAACCCTCAACCAAGTTTGGATCCTCTGACCGATAATTATTTTCGATTTGAAAGAATATTTTCCACAGTTATAATCCGCACAACCATTCCGCCGTACGAAGTGGTACTACTGCATAAGACAATGTCGAAAATTGCTAAAAATTTCGTAAATTAATAACCTAACCCCTCAGATGAGCGTAGCTAAGCTTAGCAGTTACGCCGAAAAAAATTGAAAGACCCCAAAGCACGGGAAATAGATCCTCAATATATTAAGGAAAATGAAGATCTTGACCCAGAGGAAATATACAAATTGGTATATAATTTAGCAGAAAGCGGCGCCCGGAAATAGCTAAATCCACGTCTCAAATTACTTTGAAAAGAACTGCGTAAATTGGGTGTTGATTATTTGACAATAGAAGCTACATACGTACCCGATTTCATCTATGCATCGAATAAAAAACAAAGAGAGTCGCAAGAACTTCGTGAAGATAAAGGATTTGATTGTCCTGACTTCTTTGCCTTCGAAAAGGTGATATATTCAATCCCCCCTCAATGCAGAATTTAATAGATATAATGATAATGTTATGTATGTGATCAGCATGTGTGAAAGGCCTTTGTATTAACTATTACAAACAAAATAGCACAAACTGGTATAACTCTAAATATTCACCGGATATGCTAAAAATAAAAATAAAAATAAAAATAATGAACCTCGACCATTTCTTTCTATGGAAAAAAAATCCGGTATGGGCTCGAGAATTACTTACCTGGATCCAAAAGGCTATACCAAAAGTTTTCCGTTCTTGTTAAAGAGAGAAGATAACGTAAATGTTTATCCTATTCATAACTTCTTAGCACTTTATGGTATTGGCTCATGTCACTTACGAAAAATAGGAGCCGATTACGCTTCCAGAGTGCATGGAGGTAAGAATAATTCCTGTCGCCGACACTTGAGACAACTGGCATGTAGACACAAAATAAGACACGCTTCATTATGGTGTAATAAATGACTCGCGGAGTGAGGAGGCTTTCACCTCTAAATCGGATGCTGAAGCGGAAGTAGCTAAAATCATTGACTTGTATAATTACTAATTCTCCGATCACGCTTCTTTGTTTTTACCACCTGCATAGCAGTTCAGAGCCCGCTTCGATGCCTGATTGCGTACATCAGAAGTCAGGTTTTCTGGGGTTTCACTGATGATTTTGACTCTCCTGAAGGTGATGTGGATTGAGAAGTCGTGACAAAGTTTCTTTACTTCTATAACAGTCTCGAGGCGGGAATGTTTGATGAACATCAGAAAGACTGGGTACTTGTGAACGGACAGAAGGTAGTAAAGTATGGGTCAGATGAGTATACGAATCAGCAATTATCAGACCTCGAAGAGGAAATGCCCGCTGCCATTTATATTCCAGTTGATCCATTAGTTCGTGAAAAATATCTTCTTCATTCAGCCCCCGCGTCGAGGTGAAATCTCGACGTTCCAATTATGGAGAACACCTGATCTGGATCGATTGATTATTGCTAAAATATAAATAATAATACTTATAATAAATATTATTATTAATAAAGCTCAAGGTTATATTGCGTCGATAATTGAACTATTCTTTCTGATACTCCAGCGTCCGCTTGACTACAGCTAGATATTAATCTAACTTCCGTAAGCTGGCCTATCCGGCTTAATTTAGCCTCCTAAGCAATAAAAGGGCGACAAATTCGACGCGTCTAATTAAGGAATATCCTTCTACTCACCTAGTGAATACTACCGATCGTAGTATTTTATTTAATATGAGTACAAGTGAAACTCGATAAGCTGAAGGTCGCGGGAAGGGACGATTTATTCGGCTTATCGAGATTTTCGTTTTATCAAATTTCGCAATAAGCCGAATTTATATATAGTTTACACAAGCTTTCGGCTTATAACAACACTATATATAAACTGATAAGCAAGAATACTCGTTTGTTGTAACATATTCTATTGTTTAGTCCCAATCGTTCCTTTAACTTTTTTAGATATATATATACAAGCCACGCGCGCAAAGAAGATTGTATGGCTCAAGCGATTGTTTATGACATTACAATGGCATGTGAAACTGCGCTAATAGTATGTCTGATTTGGATCATGGGATTTAAGAATGAACCAATCAAGACAAATCCACGTGATTACTTCGTTTAACGCGAATTTACTAATAATTTCGGCTTAGGCTATAATAAAATTTTGGGAAATCAAAAAAACTTCGGCTTAATGCAATTTCGGCTTAGCGTAACTCCGAGTTTCACTTGTATTATGTGTTGCTGTTGACGATTACATTGGATAGCCTCGAAGTTCCAGTTAGAAGAAGCATCGACGCAATTCTGGTATAAATCCATTTATCGATAGATTTTTGAGCGCAAAACAGATACTGAATACCATCCAAATAAAGATCACTCTTTTTTTATCAAAAAGTTCGCGCCAAGCCTTACTTTTTGGCTACTTTGTCAATCAACAATTAGAACCGAGTTTACTTAAATTTATTTCTACACTCACGGTATTTTTCGAACAAATTTCCAAATTTCCATCCTTGCATCACTTTCCACATTCCCAGCCTTAGAATTTTGCAAATAGCTATCGGTACCATCGGTTATAATATCTCCATTATCATACGTTCTTTATTAATTGAGGTTTGTTTGCACTTCTTGATAGTACTGGCTTTCCGATCGAGCGTGTGTAACCGTTGTGACGGTTTTCTGATAATAACAACAGTAGTAGTAGTAATTTAAGCCAAACATACCAGTTCGCATAATATTAAACTCTGCATCAGAATATTCCTGTAATCCTCGTTGCGCTACTTTAAATATCTCTAGTTATTTGGTGGACAGCTTAGCTTGCCTTCCCTATTGTAGCAAAGTTCGACAAAAACTAAATATGAAGTCATTGCATCAAAGATTAACGGAGACCAACCTTGTTAAGTTCTAATTCCAAGTCAAATTTTATAAGACTTTGCCTTCAATGAATGAATCTCATCCGAGTTTTCCCAAATTATGTCATTTTGGTTGTTTTTCTTCCGTAAAAATAAATATAAAGAAAACAAAAAAATACTTAGTTCAATTGACACCTTTGGATTATAAATAACTTGTTTATAATGCTGCGGATTCCATCCGACCAACGTTTTCATGTCACGGAGCTACCTGTCAGTCTTTGCACACGGAAAAGACCTCAACACGATGGCACTACCAATCGGTAAAGATACTTCCCCCAGCAAGTTGTAAGCCTCCGCTAAAGTTCGGGGTACAGGAAATTACAAGGTTAAATTCAGGAGGGATTTTTATATGACAAAAGGAGCAACCAGACATTGTATCACTATTACAAGGTTTGATGCCCATTGTTAGCCCAAATGGAAGGTAAAAAGGGACTGAAGTTCTCGAATGATGGGGATAGATATTCATCTATGAACGATGTCTCGTGGTAGTAGTTTCAAAAACTGACCTTAAGTTTGCTGTATTTATTGAGACACTATCAAGCGATTTAATGAATGGACCGGGCTTAACAGTGACCCGAACGAATCCCAACACTGACGTGTGCCCCATTTTTTCGTGTGGTTCTGTTGACCTAAATAGTGACGAAGCTTCTCAAAGCGGAGAGAGAATGAAAAGAATAAGATTGTCGAGTAATCTTGATGGATTATAGTAGAAGAGTATATTAATTATTAATTTTTGAATATTCACAGTCAGTTTTGCGGCTTTACAAAGGTTGACATCGTATTCGCTAGTAATAGTAACTTATTAACTAAACTGTTATGCCTCCGGCCCCTCTTTGTTCAGCGAAACTATGCACATTTATTATAAATATACAACTCTCAATATGGGCGTCAGCCATTTATAAAATTATCCATAAAAAATTTAACCATATACGTACATTTCTACATTAATATTTAATTAAATAATTGACCGAACTGTTAACGAATGCTCTTTCTTCTCCATCAGCATACTCAATTCCTTGACAATAGACTTAATCCTACCCCGGTGATCTGGCTCGTGTGACCACATCCTCTCCACCAAGGTTTTATAACTCGATGCCCAGCTTGGTATATCATTGGGCAGTTTGTTCCTGTTTTTTTGGTGGACATGCTTCTTTAAGTAATACATATCCACCTCCGAATATGGGATTTTGCCTGTACCCATCGCGATTTCCCAGAATACTATTGCAAGACTGTAAATATCCGAAAATTCATCACAAGGATAATTATAGTGTACAAGACGTTGCGGGCAATACCAGCGTTTGTGTTCTGGATCGGCCGGTTCAATGGAAATATTGGTGGTGTTACGGTCAGTCATTTTTTTACTTGAGCGGAAGCCTGTTAGTTTTGCTTTTGGACGTTTGGAATCGGGAGAATAGGATAATAGGATGTTACTTGATCGAAGATCAAGGTGGCAAATATAACGCTATTTTTTAAGAATGGAAGAATTGGTGCGTTAACGAGGTTTAATAAATAGTAACAAGAGCCAAATCATAAAATATTCACCTCGTGAAGGAAAGCTAGCCCCATGGCAATCTCGTATGAAATCCTAATCTTTTCCCTCCAGTCAAACAACACGTTCAATGAAGAAGGCAAATTCGAAAACGTCTCCATATAAGTAAACAAGTCCCCATTCTCTGCCCATTCAAATAGGAGACATAAGCGACAGTCCCTAACCGTGATTCCGTAAAATTGTATTATATAATCACATTCATCTAGTTTATATTGCCAATACATGTAAACCAATTTCAGAGTTGCAGAAAACGTTTCATCGCTCCCACAATTTTTCAACGTTATTTCTGCTATAGGTTCCGAGACACCTTTAATAGTGCGTTTTACCGCAAAGAAGGATCCTTTTGTCTCGCGGATGATTAATTTATCAGCTACGTCGATTTGGGACGAAGAGATGTACTTGTCGACTAGAATTTTTTCGGGGGGCCATTGTTGGTCTGACCATTGAAGCGTGGAAGCCCAAACAGCAAATGAAGCGTAATCAGAAGAACACTTATCGTAGCCAGTAGGTATAAGCTTTTGGGTTTTGGGATAAGTGGACATTGTGGAAAGGGACGACAAGGATGAGCTACGTCTCAGGACGAGAATTTGGTGAAAAAAGGCGTGAAAGATTAAGCCTTGATCATAAACTCTGTAGAGGACGTATTGAATAAGAATTGATTGTATGGATAATGCACATTCGTTAGAATCGCAATGGATAATATAAACAAAGACGATGAAAGCGGCATCTTACTCGTGAAAAGCGTTGCTTGCTGTGAATAAATTCGCTGTTCTCATAAAGTAGTCGTTTTCATCAACTGTAATTTAAAAGGCATTTTAGTGGGAATAAATCGAGACTACCAATTTTACATCAATGCTTACCAGAATTAAAGCGGGCCAAAAATTTCAACAAATACAGCAACACTCCAATATACCGTTCTAAGGCGTACGCAAGAAACTTCTTTTCCCTTTCAATGAAAATCTCTATGCGATTTTCTAATGTCGTCAAGTAATAGTCAGCGTCATTCACAAAATCGACTATTCGGTCTCTGTATCTTCGTCTGTGTTTAGTCTTTCCAGCATTTTGAATAAGATCATAGAGTATAACCTTCGTTTTGATCACTAGTTTGTCTACAATTCCCTCGTTGTATGGTTCGAATAAGAGTTTTGCTTCTACGTCTTCCACGTTCACCTTTTGACCGCGCCAAAAGAACTTTAATGAAGATCTTTCAGTCTGAACAGGCGGAACTGGCAACGGATAGTTTGAATCAGATTGTGGAGAAAGTGGTTGTGGAGAAAGTGGTCGTGGGGAAAGTGGTTGTACCGAATCGTTGTTGCTTCCGCAATCGTATTCGTGTCGATGTTCTTCGCAAATCCATAAGAATTTCTTTGATCTATAATGATATCCTTGGATCAGACCACCATAAGATCTAGTGCTGTCGATATTGTTGATATAGGCTTCGAGCGCTCGATGACCGTCCATGTTCATGACTTGGAATTTTCCCCCCTCTACTTGATCAACGGCTTGGAATTCAGGGTTAGGATCCTCCATCGTGGTGCTCCATATTTCCATAGAGTCTGCGATCTGTTGGAGATATTTACTGATATCGGCATCGTCGTGTATATCAAATACCGTGGCAAGCATAGCCGAGATATCTATTGGAAAGATTCCTGAAGAAACTACTTTTAATGCCATCGTAAGTGATTGCAAGCTGGAATAATAAATTCAAGGCATCGATCAGATTAATATTATCAATCGCGGCATTATCACAACATACATTATAAAGTTGTTAATACTTGCTGTTAGAACTGTCATCCTTACCCTATGTTAATCCATTTCCCATATTTACGGATAAATTCTGAATTTTTTTTGAGCTCGTAACCTTCTGAATTTTTTGGTATATGCCAACAATTTTCATGTTCACAGACAAAATACAGTAGAAATGGTTTGGACATCCAATTCCTAAAATGCAAATTATTCAACCGTTAAATTCCGAAAGAAGTATTGGACAACTGTCTTAACGCGCAATATGAATATCCAATTCATAACAGAAGACTTACGTTGGAAACCTCCAATCTTTCTGCTGTGGAAGTAAGACGAATAAACGCGGAATCTTCTGGTTATTCAATTGTGCTAGCTATGATATAAAAAAAAAGAATTATTGAGTAATGCGGTACTTATTGACATAAATATCTGATGTCTTTATCTTACCCATCGTGGAATGTTCCCACTGAGCTCTTGACATATATCAAGCAGGTTGTCAAGCTTATCAAACATTTTGTCAAACTTCTCTTCCAATTTATCCAGCTGGCCTCCATCGTATTCTTTTAATGGAATTGGTAAGAGCTGGATAAACCAAATAGATCAGCATGCAGTTGGGAAAGTATTTAGACTTGCTCATGTTAAGTCGGTAATACCTGATACTGATCGCCGTTTGTGTTTCCGTTTGCAATTCGGTCACTCTTAGATGCTGCAGTGATTCCAAAGGGCAAAGGTATAGTTACCCATTGTTTATTAAGCAGCCACGGTAGATTTATGTGCATCGTTCAACGACATTACCTTGGTAGTTTTGTGTGTATCGCTCAATGGCATTGCCTTGTTCCAATCCACGAAAGTACTCGGAGCTCTTGTACGTATAATTGAGTCAATAATTAGAACATTGTAACGTGGTGTGAGTAGATATTGATACGGGACGATCAAATACTGCTATACCTTAAATGTGGCCATGTCCATTCTCTCTGTCGCAGACTTTTTTAGTAATCCTTTTAAAATCTCTCGAGTATTGCTGTCTGTTATTTCATGTATTTCAAGTTCATTATTTGATTTCAATAACTCTACTTGCTCGAGAAGTTTTTCCTTGAAATAGTGTGATCCAGTTTCTATGAAGTATATTATAAGCCCAAATGAAAACATGTCTAGTGAAGGTCTGGCAGGCAGAGACTTTTTACTGGATTCTGCTCTGATTAGTTCAGGACTAAAATAGAAGAAATAAATATAGTAAATTGTGAATTGTCTAGCGTTAGCTGCTAATCATAAACATGTCCAAGATACAATTACATGCGGGAATGTTATTGAAATTGAATATTGATGCATCCAACTATACCTGCAATAATCAATTTTTGTTAATGACACTTCAACGTTATCATCCTCGAAACACGCGGAATCAAAATCAACCAACTTCCATATTTTCTGCTCTCCCTTCTTAAATAACATTATATCTCCGGGTGCCAAGTTAGAATGAACTAAAGTGCAAATTCACGTTCAGGGACATCTCGTTATCACAAATGATGTTCTCGAATCAGTGCTCTTACCTATCCGATTTAAGTGAATATTCCCCAATCCAGCTGCTATATGCTACAGGTGGATATACATATATCAGAATTATTTGCAGGATCATACTACAGGCGTTAATCATACATCGAATCAGCTGACGTATACTAACCCGAATCATTCTGGATTTCTCTTGCTGTCGTTCTTCGGCAGTGAGATAATGCATGACTGTACCTAGATCATACTGTCGACAATCAATTAGTCAATAAAAGCTCTCAATGTCTCCAATTCAATCGTACGCGAAATCAAGCTCAAAGGAAAACCCAACTTGTCCAAATTCAAGAGCAATAACCAATTCTAGCGTCAATGGTTCAAATATCTGTATCACATTCTACAATATTAAGATGGGAAGTTTCATGCATAAGCATCTTGCAGGTATCATACAAGTTTCCGAATACATATTGTACAATTAGACACAAACTTCAACACCACGCAATTCGGATAAACACCGCTCTTCTTTGGCGAAAGTCTTGAAGTTGTTGTAGTATTTTAATGCTACAATTGAATCTGACTTCAAATCGTTGGCTTTCCAAACGTGGTGGTTTGATCCGAGACCGCATTTTCTTACGATTCTAAACCGGCCATGAACAATGACTGCAAGCAATCAAAAGTCAATAATAGGCAATTAATTCAATCAGCTATTAATGTATGTATTGAAATCACTCTTCCTTCCTGCATTTACCATCTTCAGCGGGCTCCTGCCGTCTTGCTTCACTCGAATTGTTAATAGTATCAATCATAGTTGACTGCTAGATCTCTTATCACTTCATCGTTATATATTTGGTCCTAAATATTTTACCAAATATAACTATATTAGTGTCACACTGATGCATAATGATGTATGCGGTTTACGGCTTGATAATTAATAAAAGACTCGATTCTTCTTAGATTAATCAGTCAATTTCATCGCGAATATTAAACTTACTTTAATATTTCTCCCATTGCGTTTTCAGAGAAACTTCGGCAATCTCGTTCTAGAGTTATTTGCGGTTGAATAATGAATAAGTGGAACATTCTCTCTACCGAATGGAATAATATGATAAAGAAATGCGACAGGCTGTTGGGAAGTGGGATGGTTAATTGAATAAAAATCCCATCAGATATCAATTTCGGGAGGAAAAGTCTGTTATGTAAATACTTTTATTTGAATTTGGGTTAATTGTAAAATTGATATAGCTTTCGTTTCTTGACTCACCTCCAATCAAATCAATCACGTATTACAATAACTGACGTCATACGCTACAATGATACTGGATTATCATAAATTCCTTTCTTAGCAAGCGGTAACTTTTAAATATGGTTCTTTTCCTATCAATCGAAATAAAGCGGCAAAGGAATTCCGCGCGTTTTTAATATTATGCATAACTTCGAGAACTAGTGGTATTTATAAGTTTATTATTTTATCCCAGAATGACATGAGTGCCCTCACCATCTGGTCTCGTTAATTTAAATTTAAATAATTTGTAGCTACAATGTTAGCAAAAAACTACATCTACTACATTATTGCAATTGTCTTTCAGTTTGCGAACAAATAGAAATCCACTTCCCTAACCCAGAAATGTCACAATTTTTATCAACACTATGCATTTGTCGTTTTGTGACCTGTATTTCTCGAATAACTCGACAACTCACGATATATATAGTACAGTGCGCGAAAAATGTCTTCGAAATAACGTTATTGATTGCGCAACGAAAAATTGTTAGAAAAGCATAAAATCTTTACTTGTTGCGACTTAATAGTGTATCTTATTACCATTCCCTCCGTTATCTTGACCACATACTAATATAAGCGCTTTTTTTTTATTATTCTGAATTACTCTACGAAAGATGATATTGTAAAAAAAAAGCCCCCATTTAACCTTTATTTGACACGCACTCTATTCCGAAAAAAATACCCAGAAAACCGTGTGTACTTGCCTTTTAGTTTACAAGTTAAATCGCCTTGAGGTTTTAATAAACTTTGTATTAACTTTCTTTTTTAATGAGAGTAGTTTCTCTATTATATATTATTGAAAACAGTTCTAACTAATGTTATAATTTAAGTTTGTTTGAACACTGCTGTGCACAAAAGAAATGGAACGCACTGGTTGCTATCAAATCGCTTTGTCTTATGCCTATAAACTTTTACTTAAATTGTTATTTAGACATGCGTAGAGAAGACTTTGCCAAGACTAACGTTTGGTTTGACGTATGAGCAACTGCAATATTTGTACAGCAATGTATATACATAGGCACTCTCGATAAGTCGGACTCGTCGAGGCGGAGATTTTATCCGACTATCAAATTTCATAATTTTTTAAATACCCCCCCCTTTTATTTAATAAGCAATAATAATAATGCATTTCGCTTTCTTCCTATTTGATGTTTTAGATTCATTCTCGAGATTACTGATCCACCAAAACAACCGTATTACTTCTTCATCTTCTTTTTCTACTGCAGCAAAATGACGAAAACGATTATTGGATAATTTATTGTGTTGTATTTACTAAAACGGTAAAGATTCTTTCAAAAATCAGGTGGTCCGACTTATCGAGAGTTCGTTTGTATAATAATAAGCCGATTTAAAGGGTGATTTTATATTTTATCGAATAGTCGAAAAATTTTATCCGAATTAAGCCAAATCCGGCTTATCGAGTATCCAACTTATCAAGAGTGCCTCGTCCAATAATATAAAGATTCAAAATAGACTAATTCGAACAGAGAACTTTATTTATTACGAGAACCGCGCACATAATGCCAACTACTAGAATCAGAAGTAATTAATGGGTTGCGTTAATAGGAATTAGAATAATCAAACCCCGAAAACCAAGGATTAAATAGCGAATGTAAAAATAGACGTCCAAGAACTTTCGATTTTGAATATTTTTATCCGAGGTCCCTAGCAAAAAAGCCTATCATATTTGTGATACTACGTTATGGTGTTACAGTTGCAACTCCTTGCAGTTCCATGTGGATTTACATGCTCATTCGACATCATCTGACAGATGATCGTATGATTCGATGGAATACTTTGGCATATCGAACTTTTAAGTGACATTAACGACACCCCACGTGCGTCGATCTGAAGAATATATGCGTGGGAATTGTCACAATAGCTAGAATCGTGACTTGCGACTTGAAGAAGATATGTTGACGGTGTGAAGTTTCGAACAAGTTTACGACAACTAATCGCGTAGTTTTGATGCAAACAATGCTATTAGACGATATGTCTTGCAAAGCCTTATTTAACTAGCAGACTCAATGTTCGGAACAATAGTTTTGATGTGGAAATAATGAATAGTTTGGTGTAATAATTATGCCTGTAAGATAATAGTCGTATTTTATTCGTGTAATCGTAGATTAGATATGTATATGCACTACGTCGATGATGCATTGTTAACGAGCCTGCTACAAGCATTCTTATTGGAGTTATCGTGATGTGATAGAAGTTGATGCAACATGTCTTTGTTGCAGATTGCATACAGCGTTAAAATGTGCGCATGCGGTGATAACTCGAGAAACTGATAATCTGCTATGCATATTGTTTCATAGAATATCACTACATTATCTAAAACCCAACCTTGTTGAGTTCTTTCACATGCAATGCCAAATAGACGAGAATCCCATGCTTTGCAGTCCGGAATTTAGAGTGTTGAAACCTGTAATGAATACAAGTTGGGATCTCAATTTTGCTGATAAGAATGTAAGCGACAACAAGGTTACATAACAGTAATGGCGTTATTGGCTGAAAATATGCAAACCGGTGGAGTAAAATCAATGTGCAAATACGTAGAACACAGGGCCTAAAATAAATGCAGTATATAGAGCATTTACTGCATCAAGTACTTTAAAATAGTATAAATAATATACATAACTATTCAATTGATGTGGCTGGCACATCAATGTGTTCCTGTACTTAGATGCTGGTTCCCAGTTGAAACTAAAAAATTTGACACTCAACAAAGAAGGAAGCCAAAATAACTATGCATTGGTATGCGGATAGAATGGTACACCAATAGAATTCATGAACCCGGGCCCCAACAAACATGTTCCACTATTTCACACCCATTGTTAATCGTGCGCATTCCAAGCTTTATCATACTGCCTTCTCATTAACTACCTGCGGGATGTTGAGAGCTTCAGGAAGGGTTAACATCAATGCGTGTATTACGGCTGTCAAAAGTTGATCATATCGATATGGCAGCAGTCATCTTATTTAGTTCATGATGCTTTCCCGTCCAATGATGATCGTCTCAATTTGCCTTCTTTGTCGACACACATGACATGGACCAAACTAATGATATCATTTTACGGCGTTCGGGCGTATTAATTGGCTGGCGAACCTGATAAGAGCATCACTTTGCATGGCATTCTATGTATATATATTTTTTGTTTCTTTACATTGAAAAACTCTTCTTTATCAATTAATTCCATCCAACCTTTTTTAATAACCAAAACTCTTAATACAATTACAGTCAACGGCTATGTCGACATTTAGTAGCAGTGCACGTGCAAAACTTACATAAGGCGATAGGATACGACGCGCCTATCATCTCACATACTATACACTACTTTAGTTTGTTACAACAGATCCCCGCATTTATTGTTTGCTTGTTGTCATGTGCTTAGAATGTTAGCCTATAGGGGCACACTACCCCTGTAAATATACATAGTATAGACAAAAAAAGCACGCTAACGATATCGGAAGTCCATTGTTGTTTACGAAATCGTTACTTTATATAATATATTTACTCAATTGATTAAAATGGGTGATATAATCCTTTGACATATTTTTTGATACTCATTCATATCGTTTAGGTATAAGATCTCTGCGACCACATGACTATAACCTTAAGCTTACTATATGTGCATCGCATTATATATATATCATCATACAGTAAAACCCCATATTCTTTGGTACATCTAATGCTGCAACTTAATGACAAGAATTATAGGAAAGCGTTACCAACACATTCAATTATTGTATAGAAACCATATTCTTTCAATATAGAACACATCTTTCTGTTTCCAGGGAAATGTGGCAACGACGTGCCTGGGTGGCTATATAAGCACATCCTTATCATGCCTTCTTCACGTCATCATCAAGACAATAGCGTTAGATAATCCCAAAACGGGAGATGCTTCCTCACCACCAGCACAATAACTTATCATTCCTTCTTCAATCGATAGAAAACCTCTCACCGTCAGAACTGTTTGAATTGCGTAGTTATGCAGAACAGCGGCTTAAGAAAGATATACTAGGGCTCTTGCCAGTTAATTTGGCCGTCAGAGTGCTGATGTCATTGGATCCAGCTACTATTTGTAAAGCCAGGTTGGGTGAGTATATAACTAGCACAATATGGAGTGAAACCATAGATTAAATGAAAAGATATATAGAAGTTAAAGAAGCATGACATAATAGTACGATGAAGATTTGAGGTGTGATACTAAAGAGAAAGGATGGACCGAATAAGAGGGGGTTTGAGTATGACGATTGGCCCTAGACATGACGGGAATTATATGGTCTAGAATAAAAAGGAAAGCTAAAACAAAAAAGTTTGCAGCATATCTGTGTATGTGGTTTATGGTTCAAATATCCAATTCTCTCTGTTCACATCGTTAAATCTTTATTAAAAATACCAAACACTGATCTACACACGTCCTCTCTGTGTAATTCTTTTAAGTAACTTTATTTGACTAGCTTCCTTTGTTTTCTTGCTATTCGGGTTGTGTATATTGTATGAATATTTATTTGAGTGCGGTTCACTTAATTTCACATTTCACCAATAAGTTTGGCCAACATTATGCATGATGCCAGTCAGATTTGTTCGGTGAGATGATCCTATTTGTTTGTTTTGTTTTGTTTGTTCGTCTCTTTTTATACGAGGTTTGTTTTCAGACAGTCTATCCACCAGAATGAGTAGCACAATGCTAATTTATTCTGATCGCATGTATTGATGCCAGAACGAGTAAGCTGGTGTGGGAATATCTATACCATGTAAAAAATATACTAATATTCTCTTTATTCTCCCAACAGTATCCAAGTCATGGAATCGCCGTGCCACAAACAACGACCTTTGGCAACACCTCTGCATAACATATTCTTACCCTCTTACACCCGCGCCACCAACAATTCCGATAGCCTTACCTTCCGATGGCTATTACTTTCACCTTTTCAAACACTACGCAAGAATCGAACATAACTGGCATACGCGAACCTTCACCGTTCACGTAATCCCAATACATCAAAGCATCGTGTGTCTAGCTGGACTCGACGACGGATATACGGTTTATGCTGGGATGTCAGATTGCACGGTTAAGGGGTGGGATTTGCGGAGGAACGAATGTTTGGTTACGCTGAGAGATCATCGAGATGCTGTAGAGTGTCTGGTGGTGGGAAAGGGGCGTATACTAGCGTCGGGTGGGTGGGATAAATGCATCATTGTTTACGATAGAAATGAACACAAGATTATATCTAGGTTGATGGGCCATACGGCGGGAGTTATATCACTTGCGTTGACAGACGATGAATCGCTATTGTTCTCCGGATCCGTGGACAGTTCAATACGAATATGGGATGTCGGGCGCGGTACATGTTTGCAGACACTACACGAACATGATGGAACCGTTGGAGCACTGATGTTGATACCACGAGCTCCCATTAATCCCACAACAGTAATGCCATCATTTGCTTATTGGCTAGTGTCAGGTTCGAACGATCATACTGTTATAATCTGGGATTTTAATACTGATTCACGACAAACATCGCGCAGCCACAGCAATTATCAGCCGCATATTCACCGCCGCCTTCGAGGCCATATCAAAGCAGTTACAAGCCTAACATCAATTTCACCTACTCGACCAGACATACGCTCAGTATCACAGTACGATTATTACGATTCAAATAGAAATTTCGTTACCATAAATCTCGCAAAATGCCGGGAGGAGTCGTCAGTTCAAGTTGAGGAGGAGATGGATGTGGACGTTGACTTGGATGCAGAAGTTAAAACAAGCGTCGAAAATGACGACCAGGATATGGTAATTGAAAGTGCAACTAGTATTGAAACCAACAACGAAGTTTATAGTCAACAAGAACATCAGCATTGTCAACGTAGAGGCAGATTGGAACATTTGATTAAGGACGGAGCTTCCTCCAATTCTGCATTAAGATCTCCTCCACCGAGTCCCGATGCTAACAACACTATTGTATCTACACCAACAGAAACCGACTCGCTCTATGTCAGTGTTAGTACGACTCCTACTCATCCATGTCCCACGATACCTCTATCCTCTAACGATCATACAACACATATATTCTCTGCTTCTCAGGACGGATCTATTCGCATGTGGGACTTGTCTACTGGACAGCTACTAGGCTCAGCAATTGATCATCAGGATGTTATCTGGAATATTCAGTGTGACGGTAAGAGGCTTGTTAGTGTCTCCGCAGATGGCTTTATACGAGCTCGAACTTTGAACCAAGGATTCAATTGTTCAGCTGGATGTAATAGGAGTTTAGAGTGCGCATATGGATGGGAGACAGGTGATTGCATGAGCTATGAACAAAAAACATGCTGTTTATTTAAGCCACCACAGGCCATTGCTTATGTCAAAGGAGGTCTTACGTGCTTTAAAATGTCAAGGGAGTGGATCGTGTGTGCTACTGCTGGTGCACTAGTTGTGCTTTCTTTTCAATAGATCCAAGTCCTCTGAGATTATTCGGTTACTTTATTTATTAAGATGTTATTACAAATCGTTACGTTTATGATTGTTTTATCGAATTTCAATTTTTGCTTCGCCAAAATATCGGTCTGATTTATGTTCGAGTCAATTATATACAATATGGCATTCATTATCGTTGTACACTGCGTCGACAATTTATTCGAAATAAGGAAAGAACACAGTTCGCGAAAAGGTCATCGTTAACTTTTTATGCTATGATAAATTGTAATAAATAAATAAGGAATCCAAAAGATTTTGTATCCACGTATGAACGTGTGACATAACGTGCAGTTGTGCAATTCACGTGATTTACATATTGTATAGCAATTCGCGCGCATAATGTTATTATCCTTGAGGTAATTTGTTTTAATAGTACAATTGTAAATGTCACCTTTGTTCGATAGGAATTTCTCCTGGACAGTGTTCACATACGCCAGATCTCGAGAAAGGGCACTATCTTTATTTACTCCAATTGTATCACATCACACAGATATAAGTTATTATTTTCGTTCATGTTGATATTATCGTTCTGGTGAGTTTCTTTGTCATATCGCTGGTTAAGTGTAAAATGCTTCCCGAATTGACGGTTAACAAGTTCGATCTTGCCATCGAATTTGTAGGATCTTAACATCAGGAATTATTATTCAATTGGTATAAACGCGTTTAGGATTGAAAACTTCCCCGACCGATAGACTTTCGAAATCAAAGATATTCGACGTAGTACTCGAGGTTAAATAATAATCTAGGGATAGCGTATGTAAGACCGATCTAGCATCGTGAGTATTTGAAAACCAGATAAAGGTCACTAATTGTCGTTCAAAGATTTATCGTAGTCAAAGACTCCGTTGGAAGACGCTAAATCTCAAGGTCGTTACATGAACGCTCTCCCACGTGTATCATCCGACAAACGTCACTATAGATAAGAATTGAAATTCTAGCAATTCCCTAGAAAGAATAAAATAATGAAAACTTTTTTTTTCTATTTGTGAGGCAATATTTTAAACAACTGTTATTTGGGTTAATGTATACAGTTAAATTGATTTTTCAATTCAATTGTATGGGTAAGGCATACACACAAGCTATTTAGTATGACCTGGAGTGTTGCTGATCAAATGGGTTTGAGATGGGTGCATTGCCTTTGTCCACTAGTTGTGATTATTGCATTAAACTATTGTCCTTAAGTGGTATAATATCCTAATACTATTTATTACTATCTAGGGACTTGGAGAAAACAGTGTCTGTTTCAAGGAAGCTTCTCTCCTCCTCTCAAAGTTCTCTTTTCAGCAGTGTCATACTGCTGAGGGGTTTTTTTCCTTGGAAATATCAAAATGCGTTAGAGGTGCAGGGAGCTCAGCATCGGTTTCATAGCACTAGCTGGTATAAGAATGTTAGAAAACAACACCAGTTATTGTTATTTTGAATATTAATGACTCCATTATTGCGTTTTGGTATTGTTTCCGGTAAAGGTAAACGATAGCCAGGAGCAATTGGATTATAATCTGCTATTTTGATACTAAATGCTAGAACACATTCCGGATAAGCATCAGACATTTTGCGGTATGTCGCGTTCGGTTTTTATATATACGCGTAAAATTTAAAAAAATTATTTGTCATATAAAAATGATAGCGGAATATCGTGCGATTATCTTCATAATTCCGGGAAAGTTTGTGGTAAAAAACGCGTTCCTTGTTCTGATTGCGGTAAACCTACTGCAAAATGAATAAACACTTTATGTTGAAGAACGGGATAAAATTCCTCAGGACACCTGTACAAAGTTTAATCAGATCTATGAAAAATCATTGTGAACTGGTATCACAAAAAAATGGAGATAGGATTTCATACTAAAATTTTTACATTTAATAAAGAAATCAATAAACTTTAAATAAACTTAGTTTTATCTATCTATGTTGCATAATTGTTGAGATATACCAGTTTATTTACGCGCCATTTTCTTCACTGTGACTATGGGTGTGCTATGATAAGTATAAACATCGCAGCTAATCGCAGCTAATTGGATAAACTCGCGTAACCATAATCTTAGGTTGTTAAAGGATAAACGAGGAACCATTGGACTTAATAATGGCGTAAAAACCATAATTCCAGTTGAATCTGATCGTTGAATAGGAACCTATTTTCTTACTATATTGCTTATGTGCTGGGCATGAAAGCATTGTTGTGTATTATCCAGAAAGAACATATCCAAAGGCTGAACTCTCTCCCCGGGTTTACCTCGCTGGGAAGAATATTCGACTTGTTAAATTGGAATTTATTACGACTATCAGTGATTTTGATCAATGAAAAGTCAACGTTGGACAGTCAATAAAGATAACTGTTTAGGCAGCTATCATTACTACTACCAGTCAGATAGAAATTGTTAGATTCATGACTTTTCTGTTTCGATTGAGTTAATGCAAATATGCTCAATCAAAACAAAGTTTCTAGTTGGTTGCGTAAAAGCATTATTAGTGGACGCAGTTATTGTGATATCATCAAAAGGAAGACTTTCTGAAATTTAAAACTTTGATTCCTATTAAATAATATTATTAATCACGTTCCCCTGAACGTTTTGAGACGATAGAAGTTGGTTAAACTAGCGGACATTGCGAGGATTGGAGTCTTCATGGTTTACAGTATAGTCCTTGAAATTACCTCTAGATCGGATATGAGACGTCCGAGTTTGAGGTGTGGTTGGCATGTTCAATTGGAAGCGAGTGCGCTTTGCCGTATCTAAAACTCTACCTACGTCTTCAAGAAAATAGTAATCTAGAAAGACATTTTATGAATGAGTGCCACGGGCCAAGAGCTTCAGGTCAACAATCGCGAAGAATCCATACCACATAATAGCTCCTTATCTCCGTATTTCTTTAATGGAACATAATCAACCTTGGATCTAATTCCTGTACAGTTCTTCATTTCTTTATGTTTTTTGCAACATGTCATGGAACATGTACACATAAGGCATCCGGGACATTTATACTTTGATGTCGCTTGTTTGCATACTTCGCATGCATTTTCAATTACTTTCTTTTGCTCCTCCTGAAAGCCTAGATCAAAGTAACGTACTGTCAAGCATCATTGCTCCCGGTCTTGTTTTATCACTTGGATCAGTAAGTATATTGTGATCGAGTCACAAACCTTTTCCGAGAATCAAGTCGAGAGGATCGACGAATGCATTTGTACTGGTCATTTTTACAAAGAAAAAGTGGCACTTTGATCAAATCGGTAAATACTGAAGGGGTTACACAAGATCATTGTATGCAATTACAATTTGTTACTAATACGAAAAATTTTTTATTGAACGTCAATAATAATAAAGGACTTAAATTTATTTATTTGTTTTTTTGCCCTAACTCCCGTCGACCATTTCACCACAAAGGACTAGGCAAATATGCTTGTCTGACACGCCGAGAAATAGTTAAATATGATTATTCAGTGCTAATTGATTTAACATATAATATTCCACGTGACCATAGAAGTTTAATCGAATTCTACGCGAACACTTTAACGTCAATTGGACAGGTATCCATCGATGACCAGTAATTTGACAGTGGTTGCGAAAGCTTTTACCATTTATAGTTTATTCTTGGAACATACAGGTCATCAGATTGACATGTGTTTTACTTTAATATTTAAAAGTGCCTATAAATAAACAAGCTTGTTATTGCGAAAACAAGTTCAAATTATCGTCATGTTGTCTTATTCGAGCTCTTGAAATAAATGTTATAACGCTCATAATTACGCCAGCTAATTGTGTAACCGGGTTCGGTTTTTATTTTTGTAATCATGTTAATGTAATAATAGTAAGCAAAATATGGGTTCCCAAACCTCGAAGCAGATAATAAAACGAAAGTATCCATCGCAACATATGGCGGTAGCCCAGAAATTTCCTGAAGCAACACCAGAAGGAACAACAAGTACAAGAGCTAGAGAAACGCGTGATCAAGGTTGTTTAACCAGGCTTGCAAACTTATCAGCAAGTGGAATTGATCAGACTATCCTTGTAGTCAACTCTCCACTAACATATATACGGCTACATAGCTAGCATTAAAGATGATGAGAAAAACTCTCAACTGCTGATGAATTTATCGGTAATCGGACAAGTACCGATATCAATAGGCCCAGTCCCGTTGAAGCAGGTAGTATATTGTTTTGCTAACTCTCGCTTCTGGGCTTGTATGATTTCTAATTTCATCAGTTATCCTCAATACAAGTCCTCGTCCAGTATAGAAATACTAAAACACCGAGTCATGAATGAATCAGATTCCAGTGGCAACCTCGGTCCGAATCGTCTAAGTGTTCAGAACTTTCGACAGTTCTTGGATCAGAAAAAGTTGGCTAATACACCAATTGAAGAATTAGGGAAGCAGTTTAATTTAGACAAAGAAACAGCCGAGATCTTGATAAAACACGTCAACACGTTCGTAATTATCGATGAAAAAATTGGCGTTTGGGTGGACACACATGGAAACTTTCCTAAAGCTGCATTAAAAGAATAATCAATAGTTCAAACTAGTTTGATTATTAAAAGAGTAACTATTATGGATCGTGATGTCTTGCCCTATCAATACATTACTGATTTCAATTTCTATTTATTGACGGTAATAATACTTTTGTATGTAAGGATCTATGTCCTATTTCGATACTGTCTTCACTATTTGATTAATCATATCATTAATAGCTGGCGATGACTTGTACAATGGGAGTGTCTTGATTGATCCTAGCTTTTCCACTAACGTATCGGTCCCCCATATCTCCTGCACCTAAAACACAAATGCATCAGTGAGACTTCAATACTTTAAAAGAAGGCTTTTGTTTGCCCTTTTCAAAAGACCAAGATCACATATCACATACCTTTTCAACAATCGCGCCTTTCTTCTTCGATACTTTCTTGCCCGCTGACGAATTGCTAATTCTTATTACGACATTATTGGTCATTTTAATAATCGTCGTTATGACCTTGAGAATTTCTTTTAGCTTGTCAGCTTTCAATTGCCTTTTTCCAGTATTTTGATCGGTTTTGAGAAAATCAATGGCTACAACAAATGAATCCCGGATCTTTGGCATAAATTCATATATCAGTTCGTCGCTTCCACCGGGATTCTGGATAATAATGAGACGATAAGATATTATTTCCGGAAATTATAATCAAAGACAAAGTTCTACTACATTCTAAACCCTACCTTATTTGCCACTTCTTTCAGCAGCTTGCTCATTAAAACATAAGCTTGCACTTGTCTGTATGAATTAGGCACTTTCGTTGGTTCCATGAATTCTGCCAATGCATCCCTCAGCTCCCACGCAATTATTGGAAAGCGGCTGATAAAGACGACAAACACCTCCAGGTTCAAGCGAGATCGCGCATTTGTCATATACTTTCCCAAAAGCTCCTCGTAGATTTTCCCCACATTCTTAATACTGTCCTCTTCCCCAGTCTCAGAACTTCCTTGATCTTTATTGTTCGCGCTTACTTCCTCATGCTGCTTCATTATAACCTTTACCAAAAATATGCTCATTTTACTACAGGTATCCAATGCTTCCTTGCTTGGAGCTCGCGCAGCCATATCGTGAGTTTCTTTTAATATCTCATTCGCATATTCAGAAGAGAAATTACTAGGCAACGCCTTGGATTTGCACATTTTATCAAGTAAGTTTTTGGCACGATCAGCTATTTGTTCAGACGATGACGTGGCTTGGAGAACGGTCGCCAGAAGTGGAAGAATGAGTTCAAGGGTCAGCGGATGTGTCGGTTGCTTGCGGATAAAGATTTCCAAAAGATCAAAAACCTTGTTCTTAAAGTGTATCATTTGATATTTTAAATCTGATAGATGAAAGTGTTAGCGATGGATAAAGAATAATATAATTGGGCGTAAAGAGACTATTGTTACCTTTTTTCTTGGACTTTTCTAACCGTTTCTGTTTAAATATTTCCGCTAGCTTTGCATCATATTCTGCCATTTCTTCATCTTGGTTAGCCATGGGTTCATCATCATCACTATCGTCATCACTATCGTCATCATCTTCATCTCTCTCCCCGTCTTTGTCAACATTTTCAATCTGGCCTTTAGTTCTTGAGGTAGTTCTAACTACCTTTTGTTTGCCGGTTTCATCTGACTTCTCTTGACCTTTATCCTCTGGATTTTCGTCCTCTTCCTCCTCCGCATCGTCGTCATCATCATTGCCGTCGTCATCGTCATCATCACTACCCATCCCATCTGCTTCTTCGAACAATTCATCCTGTCCTTTCACTCCTTCCTTTGTTTCTATAACCTACAACCGTGATTCAATATAAATCTTCAAATCCCTCGAGTGAAAAAGTAACAGCAGCAGGAATATTATTTCTTACACTTAATAGTAAATCTAGTGCCGTCTTGGTCATTTGATCGCAAAATACTTCGAACACTTGTTCGGTCAAATGTCTCAACAATACAGAGGGTTTCCCCAAAAAACCTAGTAATATATCTACCAACACATCAATAGGTTCAGGATCTTCTTCCATGTCATCGTCACCCTTTTTTCTTCTTCTTGGTCTTTTTGACTGCTTAAACACCTTCTGATAACACACTTGCAGATCCTATGAGGTAGCTTCTTCTTTAGACAATATGATGAATATTTAAAAACAAACTGATAACCAGTTTTCCGAATACTAACCTCTAATATCGATTTAGCTTCTAGTGGTTCGGCAAATAACCAAAGAGCCGTATGCGAAAAAAGCCATTCAAAGGCTATATACTGAGACAATACATTTTGCGTTGAATTCTTTGACGGTTTCTTAATCTGTGTTGGAAAACATTCTTAAATGTCAATCACATAGTTCCTTCTTCCGTACAAGTCAACATATGCAAAGCATTTCTTACTTGTTTCTCAATGGTTTCGATACAATCAACCGCAGTCTGCTTAACTCGTTGCGTTTCTTCATCCAAACTAATTAGCAATTCGAACCTCGAATCGTTCTCCAGTTTCAAAACTTGTTTGAGTGCATAGTATGCCCAAGCATTGCCGTTACTTGTGGTGCTGTCATTTTTGACATTTTCTTGAAAATAGATTACAAAACTTAATGTAAGCTGATTCGGTTCTCAACGCAACCCTTCCTTGCAGTTAATACGATAGCTTACCAGAATTGGAAGGTTTTATCTTGTTCAGCTCTCCGAGTACATTGAAAAGCCTCTTGCGCAACAATTCTCGAATTGATTGGGACAATTCTGGTTTCGCCGAAACGTATTCTAAAATAAATTCTTCACTTTTTTCTTGGTCAGCTTCTGCTCCTTCTCCCGTGTTTAGCTTGACTTTCTTTGAAGATTTCCTAGAAGTCTATAAGAAAATAAATAGCTTGCAACGTATAGTCTGTATAGTAAATCGATCAATTAGATGGACTCACATTTGTCCGCTTTCTCTTGGGATTGTCTTCGACAATTTCCTTTACTCGAAAGAAACCGGAAGCGATGTAAAGACCCAAAATAGACTTCACCAATTCTTCTTTTCGTTCGGATGTGGTATTACGCACTAGCCCATACATTTGGTCAATTGTCCATCGACGGTACTTATCGAAACTAGGAACACCGAGACTCTACATTTCAATAAATCTGATAATAAAAATCCTCTTTTCCCTACCCCGCACGCGTAAAATTGTAACACTACCTTGCCGTTGAGGGTATATCTTGATTCAAGACAATGCTCTTCAGGTAGTTCAAGTACGTAATCAACCCTTGAGAATCTAAACACGATGTCAACTTCTTTAGGTTATTCCCTTTCGTAAAGTCGTCAAAGTTTCGGGATTCATCTTTTCCAACAAGTTCTTTGATTAATACAATAACGATTTCATTATCCTCCTTTGCACGTTGACAGATAACTTCAAACTAGAGCAAAAAAAAAAAAAAAAAAAAAACAAGCCACAAATAAGCGTTTCAAGGATTTTATATGTATACAAAAATGCCACAATAACATATTCTTTGGTACCGTGCGAGCAGCTGCTTCATGTAAATATCTCGATTCGTCCACCAGGTGGTTTGTCAAAGATCGCATGAAATTTGATGTAAATAGACTTTCTACGTGCTCCTTCGACAGCGATAAAAGACATTTTTCAAAAAACTGAAAGCCCCAGAATCGACGTTTATGCGTTGACTCCGTGGCGAACAATCCATTATCGACAATTTCTTTCCAAAACGTGCTGAAAGGTACTATTTTGTTTTTTGCACCCTTTTGTTTACTGCTCGGTGTCTTATTGTTTATGTACACCGACAAGATGCGATTCCATACCGAATGAAACTGTGACTCTTGGTTTTGATCGTCACTCGAGTCTTGCTTTGGTCGCGCTTGTAAGCATTCGGCAATCTTGCTCATATTGTCGTGGTGTAATATGAACGGATTTTCCCAACGTACAAGAGAATCAGGTGCCTTGTCAATAACCAAATCTTTCCAATCTGAATTCTTGTGTATATCTGGATACTGTTCCTGAATTGCTAGAGCTAAATTTAAGGTATCGGAATTTTGTATGCCCTGACCGGCGTTATCCAGAACCTGTTCTATTAGATATTTCAATGCATCTTTCTCATACTTTGTCTTTTTCAACTGAGATAGTGAGCCAATCATCACATGATAGCATATCTCTTTAATATATGATTTGCATTCTGAGCATTTTACCAACCCGTCTATTATCGTCTTGTAATCTTTTATCGTTGCGTTAGTACGCCACAAAATTCCTGATCTGATAATGCTCATGTAGCCGAGAACGCGTCCTATAAGATTATTCGGATCTTCCTGTTCTTTGGTCGATGTAAACGGACATGCATCATCAATGAAAATAATAACTAAATCAACAGTAATCGTTTGCAGGTTCGACAGCAACTCTGTTAATGCTAATGCAAATCCATGTCTTGCACCCTCTCGCGGACTGGGCAATCCTCTAGTTAATCTGATCAGAGAATATGCAATGTCGGGCCCGTAATATTGTTCAATTACTTCCGATGCTCTAAAATTACGGATAGTGTATCAGTTAGGTCGAGACAAGGCTGATCAAAATTCTTCAGTTTGAAGTGAGCCGATTCTTACGTTATGAAATCTTCGCAATTAGTGGATAATTTGTCCGGAATTGTAACCAATTTGCCATGATTTCTGAAGCATTCATCGAGATGCGTGATTAAAGCTTTGGCAGTTTTCTGGCGTATATAACTATCCAGTGAAGCTAAATCCCAAAAATATTCGTAGAGTGTCTCTTCCTCTTCCGCCATTTTAACAGAAAGTTAGTTATTGGCGTCCAAAAAAAATTATATGGCGATCTATGATATCACGTGATAACATAATACAGACATTTTACTGAACATTCCACAATTTTTGTACTACAAGTCTACTTGATTAATTTTCCTTATATTGCGGGGATCCACAAAACGGTGTTAACTCACATTCTTAAGCAAACCACATTTTTACAACCCTGGCTCAGAATAAGATTACCTACAAAAGTGCAAGTAGAATCCAAGAGGCATATGATGTCTCGGTTGAAACTCCCTATGACATTCGCGATGAAGCAATGAACGACTTGCTTAAAGGATATTCTTCCAATTTTGCTGCCAATAGTAAAAAATTCAAGATAAAGCTCCGTTCCAAAAAGGATCCTCAACAATCAATTACAATACTTTCTAAACACTGGGGGCAAGTCTCGTGGGGAATATTAATTTCTTTCTAAAATCAAGTCAGCAGAATCTCTTTCAAATAAGCTTGAATATGATAACCGCCCTGTTATGAATTGACTTGGGGAATATTATCTTTGTATACCCAGACCACTTGAAATACGAGCTGAAATCCAAGGCCCTATATCTCAAAAGGTTTTGATCTAATTTTTTTGTTATATTACATTATCATTATCTATTAAATTAAACCCTTAATTAATTATATATTTAATAATTTAATAGGAGGGATTTCTCTGGATCCAGGTGTATGTACATTCATGATAGGTTATGATCCAATTGGAGTAGCTGTTTAATGGGGTAAAAATGATCGATTAAAGTCATGCATGTGACAAGCTTCAAAGTAAACGCGATTGTATTCATGGGGGGAAAAAATAAGCGAAAATGTTACAGGTAAAATTTATTAATTATTTATAATTTAACATATTAATATATACTACTTTCGTGTTATGTTATGCATTCACAAGAGGATCCGTTGTCTTGTGAATGATTGTCATTATAAACTAGCTAAATGGCTTTGTGACAACTATCGTATAATATTACTACCCGAATTTCGCACTCAAGGAATGGTCCGACGTGGACAACGACGCATTGGTTCCAAGACCGCTCGTATATGGTCACATTATCACTTTTGATCCATAAGGCACGTGAGCATCCCTGGTGTCGAGTAATTTGTACAGAAGAAAAACTTGTGAATCATGTGGTTATATTCATAAAAAGCTAGGTGTTTTACTGTCCCCAATGTAAAACAAACCTTGGTAGAGATATTAATGGTGCTCGCAATATTCTTCTTCGATATCTTACAAAAAAGGAGCCAGCTTAGGCTGACACGGGAGCCTATTCCCCGACAAGACTTGTTATTCCTAATTTATTAGTAATGATAGGTTTTAATGTAGGCGTAGGCTCGTCTGGTGTGGCGTAAATACTATATAAATTCTCATATTAATATGGCAAAGAGTATTTAATTACTATTCGTTAAAAGTCGTTAGTTTTCGACAAGTAATGAACAATATCATATATGTTTACCCTTCTCGACAAACCGTTATTTGGCGTTCACAATGCAAGAGTATAACTTGGTTATCCAAAGACTTGAAGCTTGTGATGTAGTTATTGGATCAAATAGTAAAATCGTATGAGTGCTAAAATCAATCGCGATTTAATGTTTTGCTAATATTTATAGTATATTAAAATCGGGTCTGGCATGCAACTTTTTTTCCCTCACAAGTCATACTCTGCTTAGGATTAAGCGGGGAATATATTGATTAATATTTCATAAGAACTATGATTTAGTCAAAGTGTATAACTTGGGTAGGGTATAATTGCAAATTTTCCTGATATCCGGGAAACGGCTCCTGAAAGTGAAAATAATAAGTAAAGTTCAGAATATTATTTACACTACATCCTTAAATATACATAATTTTATTTTCGAGTCAGGAATGCAGATATTAGTCCTTACCGCCATTTCTCGTACATCTACTAGTAGAGAATACTCTATCCATTGTATGTAGGTGTAAAGGACTTCGAAATAATGTTAGTGATTTCAAAGTCAGTGGACGGTTTATTAGACGTTCAGCTAAAAAGTCATTGTTTTATCCCACAGCATGGTAGCTGGCTTTTTACCAGTTTCTTAGCACATGCCGAGCTAAAAATTTCGGAGCACTAATATCGCGACACATCTGCTAGAAATATTAACTCCGATCAGATTATGGTGTATAATTGCGTGCAAATTAATTCCCTCGATCTCAACGTGTCAGCCTTAAACTGAAGGATCACCACAAACATAATAAGGGCGATCCGGCAGACTTAGTATTTAGGTTCTGTGTCTATAATGAAGGCAAAAGATTTTAACGTGTCTAAATCTAAAACTAATTGAATAATTATGCAAAGACGAGCGCTATAAACTCGACTAACAATATTTTTATATAGGTAAATCCGGCTAAGAAATTATTTACATATGACTAGTTCATATTCTTGTGAAATTAGTACCTTACTTTTTATCTTAGTCTCTCGATCAGTGAACTCAAGCCCTTATTGCATCGGAAGTCTTCTATACTTGCAAATTTACTCAAAAATCAGACGCATTCTTTTGGTATTATTATATATTTGATTTCCATCAGTAAACCACCTTTTAGAGATAGATATTTTGAATAGACTACGACCATCAATGTCTGATTTAGCACCAGAAGCGTATTAATAAAAGAAACTCGCCAAGATGTGATTCTGACAAGCGTCCGATACATGGACACTTGGAGGTACAGTATCTTGAACGTCTTGCTCGAGAGGTGATTCTAAAAACGCACAAAATACTATTTGTAAGACCCTTATCACATATCGAGAAGGAGGGTGAATATTCTGGTAAGCCATTACATACTAAAGATTTGTCTAAATTGATAAGACGTCAATTCAGTTTCAGGTAAAGATAAAATGTTGACATTAAGAGAAAGTCATTTATAAATATTAGCAACCCGACGTTAACCTTTGCGATTTGCGATTTATAATTAATATTTATTTGATCATATTATACGCAAGCTTTTCCCCTCATATTTTTAATTAAAATTGGAATACGTTATACAGTGTCGAGGCTGCGGGTAAAACTGAAAATAATTGGAATTTAAGAATTCGAATGCAGGTCGAAATTAGTGAAAGAGCACACAAACTGTTGGAACTTGGAAGTTTTGATGCGTAATTTGTATTGAAACAGCATCATTCGCCTTGCCATATGCATAATTGTGTCTCTACTCATCAAAACGTTGATTGCAAAATTGCCTTTGTATTGTTTACTCTGCATGTTTTTGTTGTCAAATGATATTTATACGAGTAAAATCCGTTATTAAAGATTAACGTTCACGATATAAGAAGTTTCTGTAATGCTAATCAAACAATTATACAGTGCATACACAAAACTCGGTTAACCAAGTTATTGCTTGCATATTCACCCAACTATGTCTCTCGAAAGAAATTTGGTCTTTCTGATTTTCCGTCGCTTACGATTTTTCGTTCTTCAGCAGTAACACAACAGCTTTCAATCAAAACTCCTCCTGGGTCGAGACATGTTCACTGTTCACTGTCCATTACGGATTACTTTTCCGTAAATAGCCCCTGCATCATATGCTTTAGTGAGATCTTCGCAGGATAGTGAGCTTTGGGCAACAATGACCAAGCAAACTGAGTAAAAGAAAAGCAAATCATACCTTAAAACTCCAACAACAAGTTTGGCATTGCGTTGTATTTGGTGGTGTAAGTATTATATTAGAAAGAACAAGTCTCTCGTCAACTAGTTTCGTGGATAATAATATTGCATATCAAGCTTTTTGGCACTTGCTGCTTACGAATATAGTAACTCGTTTTTTTCAAATCTTGCGGGTCATTTGCATTAAAGTTTTACGTATAACCGTCTTGGCCTTCTGACTTGCGTATTCGCCATCACAAGAACTTTTTCAAGCTGAGGATATTTGCAAACAATTGGCGTATATTGCAAGTCAATATGTGCTTTTCTTTCGAGATTGTGAATTCGTCTTCTTGCCAAACTCATTGAAAGTAAAAATGCTTATTTTACAAAGGTTTAGTCTTGTTTAAACTGTCCCATCGGTTTGCATGTTCGATTCATTACAAGATTGTATGTCTGTTGAAGAAAAAGACTAAGGTTTTGTTGGTTCTTGTATGGCATTTCTTATATCACTTGTATCGCGACTTGTGTATGCATGTTGTCGAGATTGATTTGCTGTATAAATTTTTACAATAAGAGTAAAACTGGTTCAGGTGGGAAATTGCTCCCTCTTATTCTTTTGTCGATTCTTATAACAGACTCGTTGAACAATCAACAAGTTTGCGACTCAATTGGGGAATTACTATGACACCTAAACCTGAATGTTCTTGTGGCGGTACCTGTTAAGGTGCCTGTAGAAGCCACTGTTACCCATAAAAAAAAATTTTTTTTATTATTATTCTAATGTACTTTCCTTTTACATTCGCAATTCAAATGTCTCGGAACAACCGCTGATATAATATGGTCTGTACAGTAACATTTTCTAATCAAGGGAATTAATATACATATTAATATTAATATGCATGTAATTTAAAAAAAGAAAAAGAAAAAGAGTCTTATGCAAAGAATAGATTTCTCTTTGTTCGTTGTTATATAATCTTTTCCACCATTCCTGCTCTTCGTTTTCGTACCACCGTAACGACACTTTCCAATCAGGATGTCATGGACAAAACGGGGGTGATGGTAATTACCATGAATAGCACATGTATCAGCTGGGTTACCTTGTCATGCATCAATTTAGGTTAATCTAGGTATCACTGTAGGTGTTAATATTGTTCATTGTGCGATCTGACCAGCTGATCGTTTATCCGCCGCTAGGCAAAATGGAGTAATGAGGAGGTGAGACAGAGAACAATACCAACGGAACGGCGGATAACGATAAGCGAATCGGGGTTATGGTAGTTGGAGAGGGGAGGGAATTAGTGGATCGGGGTAACAACGCAACTGTATTGATACATAGTATATAAGTGTAACAAACAAGTATCTCGGGGGGGAGGCGGACACACTTAGTCTATCTAGCCTTGCATATCGTATTATTAACATCTCACATGAAAGCAAGACTATATATTTTTCTTGGAATCAAGTTTTATTTTTTTTCGATTATCATACAAGGGTTTGTGGTGGAAATTAATTACAAATATTATCGGAATGGAAAAAAAAAACAAAGCAACAAACTTTCTTTACATTGGTTAATCAGTTGAACGGCTGACTAGTTTTGATTATTATAGCGTTACTTTTAAGATTCTTGTTTGTGGATTGTCATCTTTTTGTTTGTTTTGTAAATAGGAAAATTATTTAGCCATGTTTCATTAGAATTATTAGTATTATTCAATCATCGGCTTTGACTACTTCAAATATTTCACAATCATCGATAGCAAAATTACTCTCATCAATCACAGGATTTTCGTAATATGCTTGCCGACACACACATCGATCCGTCTCCAAATTAATAAACAAGTCACTACCAAACCGAGGACCAAACCACGAAAATGGAATATACCCTCCTTCTCTCTCCTCAGCCATCCTACTCATGACTGCGCAGTCTCTTAGCCTGACTTCCTGACCAGTTTCCGAAAAACTGAATATAAAACTCTTTTCCCAACCGTCTCTAATCTCCTTCTTGGCACCAGCAGTGTTCAAGCCGAGTGGTGCATATCCGCCCACGAGTTTGTAAGAGTTTTTGACTTTGGCCACAACAACCATCGGTGTTACCCCCGAGCATTGACTCCTGTAATCTTCAGACACAAATCCATATCGGCTCTTGCGAAAGATAAGATTGAATCGGTACGATGATCGAGGATGAAATATTTGTTGAGATAGCCGTTTGATCCGGGATGATGGTTTGCGGGATAGCCGAGCGTTGCCCGCTTCGATCCATTTGGAAATTATCGATGCGTGAAAGTGGTTGATTATGGTCGAGTCGCGGAGGGTGACTTTGGGTTGGATCGGTATAGAATCGGCCTTTCTACGTCGTAGGTAATAGTCTAGGACTTCGTTGGAGATATAGTCTGGGATTAGTTTTGCGCATGGAATGACTTTTTGACTGTATACGTTTCGGGATAGCGAAGAGAATACGATTTCTTCCAACAATGCGCCAAGCTTTTCTTTTACTCTTTCGCAGTCACCGTTATTGCTATTAGTGTTATTATTATTATTATTACTGCTATTGTTATTATCATTATTAATATTATCACCGTCGTTCTCATTCTCCTCGCCAAAAGTCAGGGTTCCATTACTGGCCCAAGCAATCAAGCAATCCCAGACCAGTCCCATACCCAATTCGTGTGTTCTTTTCACTACCAGATCCATGACGGTTTCTTCTTGCAATTGTCCAAATTCCTCCGACCCAAACAATAACCTGGGGTTCTTTGTTACCGTGTCTATTATAAATGTTCTCAATAGCGAAAATCCTCCTTCGTAATGGTAAAGAGCGTTAAGTAGATGAACTAGGTTGGATAAGGTCCAATTATGTGCAGTCGTCAGAAAGTGGGTTTGGATTTGTGATGTGAGGTCGTCAAGCGAGAGTTCGTCCGACGAGATGAGGAGAGAGAGAAGGAAAGATGGGGAGAATTTTTGAAAGTCGAGCGTAGATATATGAATATATCTTTTATTTGAATGATCCGTTAGTATAGTATATTAATATACAAATAGTAATTAGGAGATAGTTGAGATTTGTAAACTTACTTTAGAATGATTTCAAAAATATCCGGTTCAACTCTTTCGAGTTCTACCACGTATAGACCACCTTCAGTTTTTTTAGCCCACCGGCTACTCAATGCAGCAGCAAAGAAGCCGCTTTTTTTTAATACTTTTGAATGTGACCAGAATTCTTCGCGATTCTCGCCTTGTCCTACACGAATGACAACATCGTATTCTTCTCGAGGATTGAGAATGGAGTTATTATGAGCGGCATAAAAGGCAGCATAGATTTTTGCGAAATCCGCACATATGTCGTGAGTGGTTTGTGATTCGTGTTTGTTATCATGGTTGGCGGGAGGGTTGTTGTTGTTGTTGATGTTGTGGGATTCTAGGATATGCGAGTTGTGTTTGTTGGAAGAACCATTCAGTGATACGCGTTTGTATGGTAGTGATTGGTCGTGGTCGTCATAACCCTCATCCGCCAGCGGAAGTAGTTTGTCGTTATTTGGCATAATCAAACCCAACGGCGCCTTTGGAAACATTGGTGATTAAAATTAAAATTTCGGTGATTAGGGTGAGTATAAATAGTGGGTAGGTTTTGGGGGATGGGGGGGGTGGAAGGTGGATATATTTAGATTATAGTAAATACGATATTAAATTATTTATATTAGAATCGTATTAGATCAACTAATCCGATTAGATTAGAGTTGTTTATACTCTGTGACCATAAAATGTGATGGTTGAGGTTAGATGACGGGACTGAGCAGGGAGTTTTTATAAGAATAGATTTTGAGAATGTCGATACAAAAAAGAATAATACATAATGATATATTAGTACAACTGTGTACAGACTTGGTTATTGTATGTCGCGTTCTCGGTGTAACAAGGTCAATCTGTAACAGGAGATGTTACATTTTTGGTAAGCGATCAAATCTAAATATTGTTTACTCTTACTACTATGATGATCCTAACAGTAAACACTTGTCGATAATGAAAAGATGTTGTATTGTTAGGTCCTTTTATTATTTGTCTTATTTAGTTACGTAGTAAAGAGCCATTATTATTACTATTATCACCTATTACTATTATTACCACAGATATAGTTAGTGACATTACTGTTACGGTATACTATTGCTACTGCCTGTTGCTATTGCTCCTGTTACTGTTACTGTATACTATTACTATTGCTACTGTATACTATTGCTACTGTATACTATTGCTACTGTTACTATTGCCATTCCATTACTACCGTCACTACACTCCGGCTAACACTGCTAAATTATATTACAAGTATACTATTAATATCTCATTCACATTTGTACACATTCATCCACTCCATTCGCACATCCATCATCACATCACTCCATTCGCACATCTACTCCATTCCATTCCATTCGATTCCATTCGCACATCCATCATCCCTTCCATGCATATTACCGCTCATTTGCAGTATGGCGTAGTTCCAGCGTCGTATTATTTCAGCTATTTTCCCAAAATGTTTACAATAAATAAATTGTGCTACCCGGTTGACTATCAGACGTACTAATGAAATAATATGCAAGAGAGTATATAGTATGAAGACGGTGCGGACGGTACTCGTCATTGTGTAGCCAACCGATTGGCCAAGCAACCAGTCTGTGCTTTGATGAGCAGCAGACTACACATGAGGGTTTATTAGTCTAACGTACGCTCTGTATGTGTATGTACCCATCGGATGTATTTACTTCTTTGTGTCACTTATGGGGTTGATATTGTGCTCTTGATGATCATTAACTATTTCAACTGTTGGTCATTGAACGACGAGGATGGTAAGTGGCTGAATACGAATAGGTATTGTCTGAAATGGTCATTTCATCGATGTACAGACCAAAAGTGTTCATAGTGATTGTTCAGGTATTTTTTCTTGGCTGAGTTGTTTATCCAAAAATAACTAGTCACTATGAAATCAAAACCTGATCACTGACTAGTTGGCTAGACCGAAATTTTACGCTAGTTGCATAAATATGTCATCTATACGGTGATTGGCGAATGCAGTTGACGCAGTATGCTCGGGTCATTACAAAGATATTAACATTAATATGACATGATGTTAGAGCCTAGTCTTTAGTAATGGTATTATTAGTGTATCAGAGTATCATATTGAGACTTTTACATATGTTATTAGTGTATCAGAGTGAGACTACCACATATATTTATCGCAGCTAATTAGCAATGATTGGGCGATAAAGAGATAGGCAAAAATATTTAACGCACATGTTGAATGCAAACGACAAAGCTTTTAAAGCAGGTATCACTATCACTATGCACTCGACACACATACCATATGCAAGTTGGATCAAGGTATCGATAAATAGGTTTTTCCAAGACAAAAATGGCTAGCGTTGAAACCTTACTATTATTCCCTTATCGAGTAAGCTTAGACCCAACGGTCTTCTCCGTGATAACGCGAAAAAAACCCCCTTTTCTCTAAATAAAAGCAGTCTTTCGCGTATATTTTAATATATGCATACAGCCATTGTGACTTAGAGCATGCCAATCGTGGCTAGTTAATAAACGCGTCATTATCTTTCCCGATTAAATTTTACATTATCATATGATCAACCTTACTCATTTGTACAACATTTACCAATAGCGTTATTATTATTATTATTATACCATATGTGAGATATAACATGGGTGTAAGCATCACAGATCACCATGCCTTAATATTGTTCTCCATCGCCAAATCCGAATCCCTTAATTTATTAGTGACAAAACAGAAGGTAAATATCACAATTTTTTTAGACACAAGATAATCGGTATTCAAAAATTATAGATAAGATCGGGTTTTTCCCTTTCCTTTTATTATTTTTCCCCCTCCCGACTCTTTGATTTGATCTTAAAAGTTTTTTTTTTTTTCTTTTCATGTGCGGATATTTGACGATCATCGTTTATCTACCTGTAATTTGTCGTTTAGCCAACGAAACTGGGTTCTTTCTTCAACCCTTTTCTCTTTCGGAATAACCGACAATTCAGTTGGTTTGTTTTTGTGAAAGATGTGCCCTCTCTTTTTTTTCTCTTTTTTTTTTTTTTTTTTTTTTTTTTTTTTTCACAGCCTACATCTTGGTGGATCTACAATATGATGCAAAAGTCGAGTTTATAGTTATTGGTCTTGCAAAGTACGGAAAGTTACACCCGGGCTTTTCAATCATAGAATACTTTGTCGAATGGTTATTGCAAGCCTTTTTTTTTTCCTCCTCAAGCCGATTACTGTTATTTTACAGTATTCCTCAATATAAAATATTATTATAATACAATTGAACAACTTAAACTATTACGCCAGAGCAACTAAATTACTATCAGTATAAAAGACATTATACTTTTGTTTATCCTTATTTCAGGGACTGTTCGGAATAGCCTTCACCATATATCTTTATGATTTTGCCAACCTACACTTGCCTACACTTTTCTTTACAAGTGTCACGTCGAGACAAAGAGTCCCGAGAACATATCTCCAAACATTTCTTAACAAAATAACAATATTCAAGAGCATTTCGTTCTTCAAGGCTTTATTGTTTTTACCCGAATATACTTTTTATTTAAATTCCCCATCTATTGTCCATTTGAAACAAGCATAGCCCCCCCATGCGGCTATCAATTCCATATTTACAAATGGACATTCGTTCTACGTTCCGTCGTTCTTTAACCCGCGTTGGATATTATTCAAAGGTTAGTTCATTTAACAGATATTGTCCGCCAGTTGAACTCATTTAGCAGTCCCATAGTCATGTCGAAGAGGAGCTTTTGGATTTATTTTGAACAAAGTGAACATTAGCATGTAGACCCGGGGGCTTGCACAAGTTTGTAATTGGTTCTTGCAATAGACAAACTTGATAGTTTGTTACATAATATATGACGATAGCAATTATCCCTATCAACCCTTTCTTTATTTTCATTCACAGATATGTTTACTCGGAAATTACTCTGACAACAAATGGCAACAAATTTAATAAATAAACAAAAACTTTTTACCACTAACGCAACAGCGAAAGCTACTCTTGGCGTTATGTTCTTGTACATTGCTGCATTGAGACTCTACAACTTGGCGAGTAATAAATTGCAACACGAATGATAACCTTCTACAGAAATAATCAAGTTGCTTCGGAACACCAACATCTCTATATTTGTGTATTTTTGTAACAAGGTGAGATGCGTGTGTAGCCCATTTATTTTTTACGATTATTTCTCTAAGTATTACTAATCATAGTTGCTACTATGCTAGAGCTTTATGTTGAGACTGTAGAGTTATATACGGCCCTGAGAATTGGCATGAAAAAGGCTTTCAACGACGCTTAATTTAGACGCTTTCTCTGCATTATCAATTATACTTGTGCTTAATTAGTAAAAGTATGGTTCGGAAAGAAAAAGATGGTGGTTCTAGAAATGCCAGTGACTCTGATAATTAGCTTTAAACCAAGATTAGATACTCGGCAATATAAAGAAAGGTGTGTTTTTATAAATTCGATTCTCCCGCGCCTTTTCTATTTACCCCCGTATCTAATCCTTTGTAATATGCATTGATATTATCTATTAGGTTTTTTACTGTCCACATGAGTAAAGCAAATCTGTGGAAACAATTTGCTCGGTAAAACGAGGTTGCGTATTCAAAGTCATAATTAGCGCCTTTAAAAATTCCTCCAACTCTTCTTTCTCTTTTAGTCGTTCGTCAATTCAGGGTTCAAACTTCACATCCCCATATTATTATCTTTGTTTTTAGTTCTGCCAAACTACTGAGTTCCACTGATTTTTTCAACAACTGCAATTAAAAATAGTCTCGAAATAGAGAGCCACCTACTCAACAAACTGAAAATTTTACTCCATCCACCACACGATTTATACAATCCTACACCAAAGTGGGAAGCTTGGATAGCCAATCTAGCAAGCTCACCAGTAAGATTAATTCGCTTGAATCCGACATATTAATATCCTGTCACCATAATATTCCGTCCATCAGCATTACAGCAAATAACTTTGTTCGATCAAAACGATCCCAGGTGTTTTATATCTATAATTTCGGTAATTAATAATTGATTTGCTCACGCCCTGTCTCAAGTCAAATACGAAACTTTATGTGGAATAAGCTATAAATCTTAAATACCTGTAGTCATGATAACATTCTCGTAGCGTTGCAGCGTCAACTTTAAGAAAATCTACTAATTATTTCTGCCTCCAACTTGTATATTGTTGTAATTATTTCTATTATCACTTTCTCTTTAACAATGAAATCTCTATTCTTTTTTAGTGCAAATATTGCAAGTATGAAAAACACGGACGAATATCAAAGGTTTAGTGTAATTATTATGATATTATCGAATATTGAAAAAGAGATTTGCTACTTGAACGGGAGCAGTACCACTTTTGTACTTTAAATCCAACTTGTAATATTTTGCCAACTGCAGGTCAGCAGAAGTACGACAACGAATGAATAAATTTGTTCTTGGGAGTCATTTATGTAAACGCAAGTTGCTAGTGACAACAAGACACTGTCGAGATTTAGCTATTG